AACATTCCATTGTTAGACCGATCATTTCTGTGTGAGGGGCGAACATTCAGCATCAGCCGGGAGCAAATATGCATTTCCTTCACTGTATATTATTACTTGATATTGGGCGTAAAAAATATTCTATACTCAGAAGCAGAACTCCGGCCATAAATATTTCAAAAGATTAGCCACTTGGTCACCGGCCATTCCTGGACGTTTCCCACATACGAGTAAAAAATCTGAATTTTTTTTTGCTAGAAAATTGACTTAGAACCCCCCAAACATGATAAATCTTCTTTCTTATTATTATTGTAATATCTTTATTAACCCCTTCATGCCGGCGTCCTCCCGGTCAGCCTTTAAGAGTTTCAGTAAGCCGGGAGGCGTGGACAGGCAGGGGTGGGTTTTAGGGTCCCATGTGAGCGCCATGACGTGTTGTTGTCACATGATCGTGAAAGGTCCTGATCGAAAGAGGAGATCGGGACCAGTTTTGTGACTGAGTACCATGGACTATGTGTGCTGGGAGCGTGCAAGGTAGCGCATCTGCAGGCGGTGCGCTCTCAGCACATATGTTTTTTCTTAATAGAACGCAGCAATGTGCGGCCGCTCGCCGTCTAGGCCCAGACGCCGGGGAGGACGCACATTCGTGTGCGGTGCCGGCGTGAAGAAGTTCATTTTTATTATACAAATCCATTTTAATGACCAACGTCATACAGTGCAAACTTCCATACTTAATGACATTCCCCATCCCTGTATTTGAAAAATGCAACGTTTTGCGATTCACAATCTCCCTCAGGCTCGGTTCACACACCTCTGAAGGTTGCATTTGAGAGCGCTCCTGCATTGCGTTTTATGCATGTTTTTTGCCCCGTTTTTATGCGTTTTTGCATTTTTTTGTTTCTTAAAACATGTTTCTTGTTGCTAGGCAGATTTCCAATGCAAAATGCATCAAAAATGCAGACTACATGCTTTTCTGCAGCGTTTCCGTTGAAGTCTATAGAACCTACAAACGCAACTTTTGGAGTTCAAAAAAGTCCCTGACCCTTTCCAAAAAACGCATTGGGGTGAAAACGCAGAGAAAAGTGAACCTGTCCCATAGGAAATCATGTTACATGGACTGCTGTGCGTTTCTGCAAAACGCTGCGGATGAATGCTTAGGTGTGACCTGGGGTCATAGAGAATTGCAGGGAAGGTGGCGCCCTCTACTGGACATCCTTTATACTGCAAGTACATAGATACAGTAATTAGCACATGCCATAGAAGTTGCAGTTGGTGGTTGCTGGGGACGGGATCATTTTTTTTAATTATTATTCAGATGTTTTAGATATTTAGGGACTTTTCTTGAATGCCTTTTTGCTAAATTTGCTTGCACATTCTGAAATTATAAAGTGAACTACTAATCAGCTCTTTTGTTTAGGAGACACAGATCATTTCAAATATTCCTGCAAAGGATACAATTGTCTACATCTATCTACACGGCTCCTAAACAAAATGAAAGGAAGACTTCAAAGTCCTGGCATCAAAATCAGTGGACACTCCTAGGATATGGATCTGGTCAGGTAAGTAGCAGAGGATCTGGTCAGGTAAGTCGCAGAGGGGGTTGTTCATCACTTTCAGCTGCTTTGGGTGGTAATGAAAATAACCTCCACAGGTGCACTAGATGGGCACAATGAGACGACCCCCAAAACAGGAACAGTTTTTACAGGTGGAGGCCACTGACATTTTTTTTCCCTACTCATCTCTTTCTGTTTCTCACTCATTTTGCATTTGGGACTCGGGTTCAGTGTCACTACTGGTAGCCATGAGGCCATACCTGGACCCTACATAGAGGTTGCACAGGCGTCCAACTCCTCCAGGATGGCACATCAATACCTGCGCCATTGCCAAGAAGGTTTGCTGTGTCTCCCAGCACAGTCTCAAGAGCATGGAGGAGATTCCAGAAGACAAGAGCATGGAGGAGATTCCAGGAGAGACAAGAGCATGGAGGAGATTCCAGGAGACAAACAAGAGCATGGAGGAGATTCCAGGAGACAAAAGCATGGAGGAGATTCCAGGAGACAAGAGCGTGGGAGGAGATTCCAGGAGACAGGCAGTTATTCTAGGATAGCTGGACAGGGCCATAGAAGGCCTTTAAACTTAACCCATCAGCAGGACGGTATCTGCTCCTTTGTGCAAAGATGGTCCTCCTACAAAATGACCTCCAGCAGGCCATGGTGTGAATGTCTCTGACCAATCAGAAACAGACTTCATGAGGGTGGCCTGAGGGTTCGACAACCTCTAGTGGGGGTGGGCCCTGTGCTCACTGCCCGGCACCATAGAGCTGGATTCTGGCATTTGCCATTGAACCCCAGAATTGGCAGGTCCACCACTGGCACCCTGTGCTTTTCACAGATGTGAGACAGACAGGTTCACCCTGAGCACATGTGACAGACGTGAAAGGGTCTGGAGAAGCCGTGTGAGAACATTCTGCTGCCTGTAACATGGTTCAAGCATGACCTGTTGTGGTGGTGGGTCAGTGATGGTCTGGGGAGGCATCTCCATGGAGGGACACACAGACCTCTGACAGGCTAGACAATGGCACCCTGACTGCCATTAGGTTATGGGGGATGAAATCCTTGGACCCCATTGTCAGACCTACGTTGGTGTTGCAGGGGTTCAGGGAGTTCCTCCTGGTGCAGTGAATCCTGGAAGTTCCTCCTGGTGCAGTGGGTCCTGGTTCCTGCTTGGTGGCAGTGAGTCCTGGGTTCCTCCTGGTGCAGTGGGTGTCCTTGGGTTCCTGCAAGGTGTAGTGGGTCCTGGGTTCCTCCTGGTGCAGTGGGCTCCTGGGTTCCTCCTGGTGCACGACAATGCCCCAGCCTCATGTGGGGAGAGTATGCAGCAGTTTCTGGAAGATGAAGGAATTGATACCATTGAATGGCCCCCACACCTGACCTAAATGCAATAGAAAACCCTCTGGGATGTCATGTTTCGGTCCTTCGACGCCACCAGGTTGCACCTCAGACTGTTCAGGAGCTCAGTGATGCTCTGGTCCAAGGGGGATCTGGAGGAAATCCCCCAGGACACCTTCCGTGGTCTCATTAGGAGCCTCCCCGACGTTGTCAGGTCATGCATACAAGCACATTGGGGCCACACAGACTACTGAGGACCATTCTGAGTTGCTGCAATGACATTTCACCAAAATGTGACTCGCCTGCTGCATCAATTTTTTCATTTGATTTTCGGGGTGTCTTTGAATTCAGTCCCCTCTGTAGGTCAATCATTTCCATTTCCCATCCAATGATGGGACGTTCCTTACGTTCCTCACCCATCCCCCATCCATGTCAGTATAGAGATCCAGAAGGAGATTCCTCCCTATTGAGATCTGATGGGTTTCAGGGTCTTCCTTTCAATTTTTTTGAGTCCATGTATAACTAGGCTGAGATAATGTCAACAGACAAGAGGAAGGCATTTCTTAGGCCACCCCCCCCAGTGATCAGAACTGTACATTGTAACTTTGTACAAGGAGGGGGAAGCATTTCCTCAGTCCTCCCCTCCCCCAGCAATCAAACATGTACATCGTAACTTTGTTAGAAGGCGGGAGAACATTGTAGGTTGAGAAGATCTGACTCACAAAAGGCATTCCTCTTGCGAATATATCATATCCATTGAGTGAGGTTGATGTCGGGGCCACTTGTGTTCCTCCACACCAAAACTCAATCAAACCATAGCACCTATATGGGCTTGTTGGACATCCAACCCCTAAACAATGGGCAGTAACCTGGAGCTGCGCCCCTTCCCCCTTTGTGTCTTCATGCTGCTGGAAAGTGCTTTCCACTAATGTTTTGGAGTAAGTTCTTAGAAGACTTGTGTATAGGTGTGACTGATGACATTAAGAGCACTCGGGCACTGCCCGAGGGCCCAGGGTCAGTAGAGCGGCCCCATGAGATGCCCCTTTTAGGTACCTTTCAGAGGCTTTTTTGTGCGTGGTTTGAGTGTGGGTGAGGACACAGGGGTCCTTATGATCCCCTATTGCCCGGGGACGCCCCAATGAGTTTGTCAGTCCGCCCCTGCTTGTGTATATTCAGCCAACTGAGCCATTACAACAGTTAGGTCAGGTATGGATGTAGATTGAGAAGATCTGTCCTCACAAAAGGCTATTTCAATTCATCACGTTGAGTATATGGTTTGATGTCAGGGGCACTTGAGGTCCTCCACACCAAACTCATCAAACCATAGCACCTTATATGGCCTTGTTGGACATCCAACCCCAAATCCATGGGCAGTAACATAGAGCTGTGCCCCCCATCCCCCTTTGGAGTCATAAGCCTCCATGTTGCTGTGGAAGGCTTTCCAATACATTTTTTGGGAGTGCGAGTCTTCGAAGATTTGTGTATAATTCAGCCAACTGATGCCATTGAGAAGGTCAGGTAATGATGTGGGATGAGAAGATCTGACTGGCAATTACCATCCCAATTCATCCCATTGAGTACAGGTTGAGCTTGGGCCACTTGAGTTCCTCCACACCAAACTCATCAAACCATTTCTTTATGGATTTGGCTGAGCATCAACTGAGGATTGTCCACATACTCTTGGCCATGTAGTAGATCTAAGCAGGTTAAACATTGGACATGGATGGTTGCTTCTTCTCTGAATGATTAACCATCCCCCAAACGGCCAAGACTGTGATGAACTATTACGTCTTATTACTGATTGTAGGAAATCGGCCACGAAGTACAACGTCTTCATGTTTAAAGTGGTAAATAAACCCAAAAACAAACACGCAGCTTACCAATTCCTAGATTGGTATGGCTGCCTTCGTTTTCGTTTTTTAAGGGCTTTTTCCTTTATTTTCACTCGGTGATCCTGCCAGTAAGTCCTATTGTTTTTTTTTCTCTTCCTTAACAGAACAAGCTGTCAGAAATGGCAGTTAGAGGTTTGAGACAAACTATTTAAATGGACGGGGAAGCTTCCATCAGAATATATATTCCTGCATGCAAAACCTGTATCCCAAAAGGAACAAAACTGTTAAAGTGTTCCTAAACTCTGAACCCGGCATTCACTATATCCGCTCTCCCCGGACCCCGCACTCACTATATCCGATCTCCCCGGACCCCGCATTCACTATATCCGCTCTCCCCGGACCCCGCATTCACTATATCCGCTCTCCCGGACCCCGCACTCACTATATCCGCGCTCTCCCCGGACCCCGAATTCCCTATATCCTCTCTCCCTCGACCCCAGCGTTCACTATATCCTCTCTCCCCGGACCCCGCATTTCACTATATCCTCTCTCCCCTGGACCCCGCGTTTCACTATATACGTCTCTCTCCCGGACCTCGCGTTCACTACATCCGCTCTCCCCGGACCCCGCGTTCACTACATCCGCTCTCCCCGGACCCCGCGTTCACTACATCCGCTCTCCCCGGACCCCGCGTTCACTACATTCGCTCTCCCCGGACCCCCGCGTTCACTACATCCGCTCTCCCCGGACCCCGCGTTCACTACATCCGCTCTCTCCCCGGACCCCGCGTTCACTACATCCGCTCTCCCCGGACGCCGCGTTCACTACATCCGCTCTCCCCCCCGGACCCCGCGTTCACTACATCCGCTCTCCCCGGACCCCGCGTCTCACTACATCGCTATCCGCTCTCCCCTCTGGACCCCCGCGTCCACTACATCCGCTCTCCCCGGACCCCCCCGCGTTCACTACATCCGCTCTCCCCGGACCCCGCGTTCACTACATCCGCTCTCCACGGACCCCGAACTCCCTATATCCTCTCTCCCTCGACCCCGCGTTCACTATATCCTCTCTCCCCGGACCCCGCGTTCACTATATAACGCTCTCTCTCCGGACCTCGCGTTCACTACAACCGCTCTCCCCGGAACCCCGCGTTCACTACATCCGCTCTCTCCCCGGTACCCCGCGTTCACTACATCCGCTCTCCCCGGACCCCGCGTTCACTACATTCGCTCTCCTACCGGACCCCGCGTCACTACATCCGCTCTCCCCGGACCCCAGCGTTCACTACATCCGCTCTCCCCGGACCCCGCGTTCACTACATCCGCTCTCCCCCGGACCTTGCGTTCACTACATCCGCTCTCCCCGGACCCCGCGTTCACTACATCCGCTCTCCCCGGACCCCGCGTTCACTACATCCGCTCTTCCCCGGACCCCGCGTTCACTACATCCGCTCTCCCCGGACCCCGCGTTCACTACATCCGCTCTCCCCGGACCCCGCGTTCACTACATCCGCTCTCCACGGACCCCGCGTTCACTACATCCGCTCTCCCCTGACCCCGCGTTCACTACATCCGCTCTCCCCTGACCCCGCGTTCACTACAATCCGCTCTCCACGGACCCCGCGTTCACTATATCCGCTCTCCCCGGACCCCGCGTTCACTATATCCGCTCTCCCCGGACCCCGCGTTCACTATATCCGCTCTCCCCGGACCCCGCGTTCACTATAATCCGCTCTCCCCCGGACCCCGCGTTCACTATATCCGCTCTCCCCGGACCCCGCAATCACTGTATCCGCTCTCCCCCGGACCCCGCAATCACTATATCCGCTCTCCCCGGACCCCGCATTCACTATATCCGCTCTCCCCGGACCCCGCATTCACTGTATCCGCTCTCTCCCCGGACCCCGCATTCACTATATCCGCTCTCCCCTGACGGACCCCGCAATCACTGTATCCGCTCTCCCCGGACCCCGCAATCACTATATCCGCTCTCCCCGGACCCCGCAATCACTGTATCCGCTCTCCCCGGACCCCGCAATCACTATATCCGCTCTCCCCGGACCCCGCATTCACTATATCCACTCTCCCCGGACCCCGCATTCACTGTATCCGCTCTCCCTGGACCCCGAATACGTTTTCTCATCACAGCAGTATATGCAATTATTAATATTATAGAGGATTTATATAGCGACAACAAACACAGGTTTTTTTTACACTCCAGAAGTAGGCCCATTCTCCCTCGTGAACAATAAAACAATAAAATATATATTTTTTATATATATATATATATAGTATGTTAAATTGCATTTTTTATATATTACAAAATATATGAAAAATATTTTTAAAAATACATTTTCAAATATACTGTATGTCTTTAAAAATACATTTTTCTACAAATCTATGTAAAAATATATATTAAGATGACTTTTTTATATGTTAAAAAAAATCTGAAGAATATATTTAAAAAAAATATATATTTCCTAAAAATATTTTTCAAATATTCTTGTAATATATAAAAAACGCATTTCAAAATACATTTATCTATATATAAAAATTGCAAGTTTAAACTTTTCAAAACTTTTAATTTTTAATAATTTCAGGACATTTATAATTAAAAATGGAGGGCAGGTTCACTTTAAGTGTTTTTTTTTTTCTTTCTGTTTTTTATTTTAGTTCATATTAGTTCCAACGAAAAAAAAAAATGGCAAGTTTAAATTTTTATTTTAAGAATTTCAGGACATTTATAATTAAAATTAGCGTGCAGGTTCATTTTAGGTTTTTTTTCCTTTTCTATTTTCCTTTTTTTAGTTCTTTTATTTTTACAGTTCTATTATTTCCAAAGGATCAGTACAATATCAGCGTTTTAATCTAAGTCGTAAAAAAAAAGCGAGTTCCTACCATTGAATAACTGAGCAATACAGTGAATAAAACCTAATACCCTTTATGGAGTCACTGGAAAGAGATAACCTTGAACGGCTCGGGCACATCAATTGAAATAGTGATGCCGCTCTTCAAAAATTTAGGAACACGAACCAAAACATTTGCTCTCTGCAAAATTAATTGTACAATAATTTTATTCTCCTGCGGACGCGGAATGTGAACAAGATCCCATAACAACTCGCATTGCAAATTAGAGCTTTATAGCCGCCCGACTATAAAATGGAAAATAAATTTAACAAATAAAGAAATAGTCCATTTGCCGTTCAAGTCAAGCTAGTGACTGGCGAAAAAAGAAGACGGAATTTGGGCGCTTAGTGGGAGATGAGGCGGGTGGGGGGGGGGGAGAGTCAGAAAAAAACAAAACTGATATTTTGAGTCAATTTTGTAAAGGCTAAAGCAGAGGGTTCCTCACATCTCATGGGGGTTCCATGAGGGATTTCCTTCACTGCCAGTTAGAAAAAAAATCCTGGCGCCCAGTTACCAGATGAAAAGTTCCCCCATGTATTATTTCCAGTATCACAGCTCACGTGTAGCCAGTAGAGACGAGTGAAAATATGGGGGAGCTCTCATTTCCCTGAAATTTCAGCAAAAATTGAGATTTCGAAGTGATATTTCATTTTTTGCTGAATACATACTTATCAAATGGAGAAGACAACATGTAGTCAAAAGGGATGAAAGAAACTGGGAGCTTTCATTTTCCCTGAAATGTCCTTAAAAATGGTGAGATCTCAGTAAAATGTTGTTTTTTTGGTGAAATACATTGGCGTCAAAATGGAAGAGGCAACATGTAGCCAATAGGATAAGTAACATTGGGAGCTTTCATTTCCCCAAAAAGAATTTCAAAGAAAAAATGTACATTTCAGCAATATTTTACTTTTCGATGAATATATTCACTTCAAATGGAGGAGGCAACATGTAGCCAATAGGGACAGGCAAAATTGAGAGCTTTCATTTCTCCTGAAAATCCAGCAAAAAATTGAGATTTCGGTGATATTAAATTTTTTTCCTGAATACATTGACGTCAGATGGAGAAGACAACCTGTAACCATTTGACGCCATTTGGCTCTAATGTATTTCACTGAAAAAAACTAAATTTTACTGAGATCTCACCATTTTTAGGAAAGAAATTGGGAGGTTTAGTTTCCCTGAAAATTCAGCAAAAATTGAGATTTTGGTGATATTTAATTTTTTTGGCAAGTACATTGGTGTCAAATGGAGAAGGCAACATGTAGCCAAAAGGGAAGAAAGAAAACTGGGAGCTTTCATTTCCCTGAAATGTCCTTAAAAATGGTGAGATTTCAGCAAAATTTTGTTTTTCGGTGAAATACATTGGCAGCGAATGGAGAAGGCAACATGTAACCATTTGACGCCAATGTTTTTACCGAAAACACAATTTTACTGAGATCTCACCATTTTTAGGAAAGAAGTTGGGAGGTTTAATTTCCCTGAAATGTCAGCAAAAAATTGAGATTTCGGTGATATTTTCATTTTTTGCTGAATACATTTTTGTCAAATGGAGAAGGCAACATGTAGCCAAAAGGGAAGAAAGAAACTGGGAGCTTTCATTTTCCCTGAAATGTTTTTAAAATAGCGAGATCTCAGTAAAAATGTTGTTTTTTGGTGAAATACATTGGCGCGGTTGGTGCGTCAGATGGAGAAGACAACATGTAACCATTTGACACCATTTGACTCCAATGTATTTCACCGAAAAAAACAAAATTTTACTGAGATCTCACCATTTTTAGGAAAGAAATTGGGAGGTTTCGTTTCCCTGAAAATTCAGCTAACATTGAGATTTTGGTGATATTTAATTTTTTTTGGCCAGTACATTGGTGTCAAGTGGAGAAGGGCAACATGTAGCCAATAGGAAAAGTAACATTGGGAGCTTTCATTTCCTCAAAAAGTCAGAGAAAAAAATTTGAGATTTCAGCAATATATTACTTTTAATATATTCACTTCAAATGGAGGAGGCAACATGTAGCCAATAGGGATAGGCAAAATTGGGAGCTTTCATTTCCCCTGAAATTCCCAGCAAAAAGTAAGATTTCGATGATATTTAAATTTTTCCTGAATACATTGGCGTCAAATGGAGAAGACAACCTGTAGCCAAAAGGGAAGAAAGAAACTGGGAGCTTTCATTTTCCCTGAAATGTCCTTAAAAATGGTGAGATTTCAGTGAAAGTTTGTTTTTTTGGTGAAATACATTGGCAGCAAATGGAGAAGGCAACATGTAACCATTTGACGCCAATGTTTTTACCAAAAAACAATTTTACCGAGGTCTCACCATTTTTAGGAAAGAAGTTGGGAGGTTTAATTTCCCTGAAATTTCAGCAAAAATTGAGATTTCGGTGATATTTCATTTTTTTGCTGAATACATTTTTGTCAAATGGAGAAGGCAACATGTAGCCAAAAGGGAAGAAAGAAAAACTGGGAGCTTTCATTTTCCCTGAAATGTCCTTAAAAATAGTGAGATCTCAGTAAAATGTTGTTTTTTTGGTGAAATACATTGGCGTCAGATGGAGAAGACAACATGTAACCATTTGACACCATTTGACTCCAATGTATTTCACCGAAAAACAAAATTTTACTGAGATCTCACCATTTTTTAGGAAAGAAATTGGGAGGTTTCGTTTCCCTGAAAATTCAGCTAACATTGAGATTTTGGTGATATTTAATTTTTTTTTGGCCAGTACATTGGTGTCAAGTGGAGAAGGCAACATGTAGCCAATAGGAAAAGTAACATTGGGAGCTTTCATTTCCTCAAAAAGTCAGAAAAATTGAGATTTCAGCAATATATTTACTTTTTAATATATTCACTTCAAATGGAGGAGGCAACATGTAGCCAATAGGGATAGGCAAAATTGGGAGCTTTCATTTCCCTGAAATTCCAGCAAAAAGTAAGATTTCGATGATATTTAAATTTTTCCTGAATACATTGGCGTCAAATGGAGAAGACAACCTGTAGCCAAAAGGGAAGAAAGAAACTGGGAGCTTTCATTTTCCCTGAAATGTCCTTAAAAATGGTGGTGAGATTTCAGTGAAAGTTTGTTTTTTTCGGTGAAATACATTGGCAGCAAATGGAGAAGGCAACATGTAACCATTTGACGCCAATGTTTTCACTGAAAAACAAAATTTTACTGAGGTCTCACCATTTTTAGGAAAGAAGTTGGGAGGTTTACTTTCCCCTGAAATTCCAGCAAAAAGTAAGATTTCGATGATATTTAAATTTTTCCTGAATACATTGGCGTCAAATGGAGAAGACAACATGTAGCCAAAAGGGATGAAAGAAACTGGGAGCTTTCATTTTCCCTGAAATGTCCTTAAAAAAAAAATGGTGAGATTTCAGTGAAAGTTTGTTTTTTCGGTGAAATACATTGGCGTCAAATGGAGGAGGCAACATGTAGCCAATAGGGACAGGCAAAATTGGAAGCTTTCATTTCCCCTGAAAATCCAGCAAAAAATGAGATTTTGGTGATATTTAATTTTATTCCTGAATACATTGGCGTCAA